ACATTTAATGGAGGGTTGTAAAAAGAAAGGGGGGAAAAAACCCCTCATGCCAAAGAACTATTCCTCACCTGGTTTTAACGGGAAACATTTGTTCCTTGCCAGGACCCTGTTATTGAGGGGTTGGGCTGGGGTGAGGAACCTTGATTAGGATTAGTGCAGAACCCAGTTGGAGACTTTGTTTTATGAACCCTTTGGCCACAAGAAAAAGAGGGATGTAAAAGGGTACCCATTTTCATCCTGGCCTGCCATTGTCACAACCAACAGTGTTTCCATTTCAGTGCAGCTCTGTTTCCACCAGATACTACATTGTTGATTCATGTCATTTATGTAAATTACAAATATTATGTAAGTTACAGATATAGCAGCAGGCAGGCAGCCTCCTCTGTAAGTGGTCTGCTAGTGGGGTTTTATTTCTTGACTTCCCATAGAAGCAGCTCCCTTGTGTAGCACACACACTGGGGATGGGATGCCACCATCCATGCATGACTTCAGAGAGAGGACATTCAGCCACAAACATTGGAAATGCTTTGCCAAATAATTGCAGATATATTGCAGGAAAGCAGGACTTATTGGCCAGCATCCCTTATGAGACGGATGGGCCTCCTTTATTTTCATAGCATATGAAGCTGTTCATTTTATGGCATGGCAAATTGCAACTTTACAATGGTTTCAGGGTTTAAAATATAACCATATATGCTCTTTATTGATTTTGGAATATAAACATTCAGATAGCATGCTTTCTCCCCCCCCCCCCACTTTCCTGGATCCTAAAATTCACTTCATTTTTAAAAAGAGAAGGAGGTGATGTTGACGTATGCTCCTCTCACAGAGGATAATGGCAATTGCATTGGCGCTTGTCCGCTACATGTTTGGCAAAATGGAGGCATTCGCGTTGTGCAACCTGTTCTGAGCTGCATTAAATAACCCACTTTATTTCATACATTTATTACGGACATCTGGCCAGCCAAGGATCTGCCAAACCTTTCTGAAACATATCTGCTGCAGTCCACCGTGAGCCTGGGGTTGGGCTTGGAAGACATTTTATAAATAAAGCATGCCTCTTTATCATTTGTGGCTATTTAAAGGTGATGCGACTTCATGCTTCCTGTTCTGTTTGAAAACTGGCTTTCAGCACACTTCCATCTTTTGTGAAAGCCTTTGCTGTGAGCTAAAAGGGGGGCAGGCTTGTGTCCTGGGATTCTTCACATGCCACGTGAGATTCAAGACCAACAGAAGCTGAAGTCACTAACAGCATAAAAACATAAAAACAACCCTGCTGAATCAGACCAAGGGCCCATCTAGTTTAGCATTCTGTTTTCACAGAACTTTACATGCTATAGCCCTTTAAGGGCTTTTCTGATGGCTGGTTATTTTATTGTATTTTATTGTTTATTTTTGTATTGTGTTGTGTGATGCATTGAGCCACTGCCTTGAGTGACCCACCTAACAGGAAGACTGGAAATACGTTAATAAGCAAATAAATAACAGCCCCCAACATTTCACAAATGAAAATGGGGACATGCTTAGCCTTCTGCCAATGTTCAAAGCAAGCACATGAAGGGCAGGGTCACGCACATTAGCCTTGTCCTCATTGTCCCTCTCCATATAGGGGACCTTTCCTGACTTCTAAGCTCATTCACCCAAACATACTTAGAGACACCTTTCTCACTCAGCACAGGTAGGATTGGGCAATGCGTGTGGGGTGCTGGCACTGGGGACAGAGATGGTTTGTGCACCTCTGTGCCTCTTGACAAGCCTTTCCCATCCTGGTGCCTTCCAGATGTTTCAGATCACAACTCTCATCACTCCAGACCATTACCCATCCTGGCTGGAGGTGATGGAACCTTTGTAGCCCCAAACATCTGGGGGGCACCAGATCCAAAGAGGATGCCTGGACACTCCCCCCCCCCCCCGTTGCTTGAACACCTGACATGAGTGATTGTAACATCTCTGTGTTATATCCTGCCTACCTCCCTCTCTGCCTTACACACTGCTAAATATTCCACTCTTTCTGATTCACAGCAAACTGATTGGCCCTGTACTATAAACCAATAAGGTGTTTTTGGAGATATTTCTGGTTAAAGATAGAGTGGACAGACATAAATGTTCGGCAATATTTTATCAGCCTTAATTTAACCACTATGTGAAATGGCTAGAATGCACTACATGCTGTATTAATGTGGATGCAAGTGAATTTACATGCATTTATTCGAAACAAGATGCATGGATCGCTCAGATCCAGACGTTAAGGTGGAACTACTTTACAGACTTACTTGGGAGTAAGTCCCATTGAGCAGACATACTTAGCATCACCCTGTTGATGTTTAGAAACATCAGCTGGAATCCGACAAATGGCAAATTCAGCAACTCACAATAACAAAAATGTAACAAGGCATTCTTAAAAGCTAAAAATAGGGTATTGATTTGACAGAGATACAGGAATGTAAGGGCTGCCCTTCATCAATAGGGGCAGCTAGAGTATACATGGAAGTGTTTAAAAGTATCTCACCAAATGTGAGATCTACAATCTTGCTTTCACAGCATAGCAAACCCAGACTAGAGATCCTTAGGATTCGGTCCCAGTTAACAAATTCTGAAAAGTTCTGTGCTAGCTCTGTGTATAAGCCAGTGGAGGTTGGTTTATTAGAATGAATGGAGCATTGCCACAGTGTCCTTGGTCTGGTCTCAGCCAAACTTCTGCTTACCTACTTGCTTACATATCTTTATAGTCCAGCGGGTGGCCTTAGCTGCCAGCTTCCTCATCCTCTATAGCAGGGGTAGGCAACCTAAGGCCTGTGGGCTGGATGCGGCCCAATCGCCATCTAAATCCGACCCACGGCTTGTTTTTACATAAATAGAATGTGTGCTTTTATTTAAATTGCATCTCTGGGTTATTTGTGGGGCCTGCCTGGTGTTTTTACATGAGTAGAATGTGTGCTTTTATTTAAATTGCATCTCTGGGTTATTTGTGGGGCATAGGAATTCATTCATATATATTTTTCAAAATATTGTCCGGCCCACCACAAGGTCTGAGGGACGGCGGACCAGCCCACAGCTGAAAAAGGTTGCTGACCTCTGCTCTATAGTGTTAGTTTTACCCTTGTAGAACTCGACAGGGAGGAGGCTGGGGGCAAACTTAGAATGTGTTGGCTCTGCCTGCCATTGGCTCTTGAACCACCTACTGTTGACCTCCCTGTCTTCCACCCCACCCGTCCCAATGGGCATCACCCATCACTATCTGTATATGCGTAGAGAGGTCTACAGTTCCAGATGCCAAGATAGTATTAGCAGGCTGAAAGCTCAGCAAACTGCTTCCATTCTTCAAAGCCCTCCATTTCCCACAGTTGTGGTGGGAGGAGGAGATTATTTTCCCAAAGCCACTCTTTGCCACAATATTGCAGAGCTGTCTGGTAATGATAAACGATGTACTTTGCTTTACATTTTCTTGCTGCTCAGTAGTAAATACAGGCCTGTTTGGATGTGTGTCCATTGTGGATAAATGACTTTGGCAAGTTGTGCCTTCTGGATGTGTGTTGCAACAGACGTGTGGCATGGGCACGTTCGCCACTCTATTTCATGGCTTCGTTCTACCTGAAGCAATTTATATTTTGAATAACAATGTTCTTCCCTCTCCCCTCTTTGCTCTATCCCCTCCCCACTGAAAACTGCTATGGATTTGAACTGCCGCAACGTTTCACTCCTGCGGTGGTTAAGGACAAAAAATAGGACAATGGAACTGCTCGGCTGTTGAAGACAACCATTACTGGGCATTGATCCTTTTCGTGAACATGTGTAGTGCAGCCAGGTGATCCTTTATGGGACATTTTATGCTTACACAAATGCAGACAAGGTCTTTGTTGGCTAATGAGATTTATTATTGACCAGCTGAGGTGACTGTGCTATTGAAAAGTCTCTTGGATGCAAAGTATCTGGAGAGAAAATGTTTTGTAAAATGTGGGGATATGAAAAAAGCACTATTTATTTATTTATTCATTTTTTCCTTTTCTTAATTTGATAGCCCACCCTTGTTCCGTCATGAAACCCAAGATGGTATACATACATTCTGCAGGTGGGCACTTATCCAGGGACTGACCAGCAAGGGGCTGGCCTCATGTGCCATCAGAACCTCATCTTTGGCCATAGGAGAAAGATGGAAAGTTCTCTATCTTCTCCCAAAGCCAGATCTTTTCTTCTGGATCTGCGGAACTATTCCCCTCCCCCCAATCCTAAGGGCCATATTCCTTTCTGATTGTTGGAACTACCAGTAAAAGGAGACATCACAATGGATGCCTAGCCACAATGGATGCCTAGCCACACAGAACTGAGAGTTATATATGCACACAAACCACCCAGAAACTTAAAATGCATGATCATAGCTCAAGGACATATTCTAGAATGAAAGCACCCAGAACTGGGCTGGTGAGGGGCTGTGCTCTGAGGAGTGTGTGTGGCCTCAGGAAATGGAAAGGCTGAGAGGGCCACATCTGGGCCCCAAGCCTGAGGTTCCTAAAACCTTCCCCAATAATTCTCCATCACCCCACCTGTACCATCCTTGATAGCATTGACTCAGGCTTAGAGATGAGTCTCAAATTTTTCACATTAGAATTTCTCTCTGGATTTTGTAGCTTTGGTTCTGAAGCAGGACCAATGTACAGTGGACGCTCGGGTTGTGAACATGATCCGTGCGGGAGGCATGTTCGCAACCGGCAGCGCCATGTCTGCACACGCATGGGTTGCAATTCGTCACTTCTGCGCATGCACAAAGCATGATTTAGAGCTTCTGCACATGCGTGACCGCCGAAACCTGGAAGTAACCTGTTCCGGTACTTCCGGGTTTTGGCGCATCTGTAACCCGAGAAAATGCAACCTGAAGCATCTGTAACCCAAGGTATGACTGTGTTGGCGAATTTCCCATTTTGCCATTTGCGTGGACAGGCGGAGTCCCCAGGTCCCGAGCGCCCCCCCCCGTCATGTGGAATAACGACTCAAGACAACGTGCTATGGGATTAAATTGGCCACAACTTTATTAAATTTCAAATGTGGGTAGACCTTGGCTCAGGCATTGGGCATTCTCCCTCCCCAGTCCCCAGCCGGGGACCTAGGGAGCATCAGGGTTATCCAGTGTTTGTGTGGGGGATGGGCCGGCTCTGGAGAACATATGTTCAAGCAGAGATAGCCACCCCCCGTTACGCCACCGCCGCAGGGGAGAGCAATGACGACCTTTCGGCGTACGGTCAAAGCCTCCCTTCAGAAACCCCTTTAACGGGGAACCCTGGTATCGCTGCTGCAAGAGGAAGATGGACAAAAGGATTCCACCCAAGGCCTGATACTGCCAAAGTTGTGACGTTTTGCTACGGGAAAGGCGAAACCTGCCAATGCAGGGAAATTCCTTTCCTGCCCTTTAACAGCGACCTTAACGTAGCAGCGCCCGCATACCTGTAAGAAAAGTTAACCTGCAAAACCTGTGAAGAAAAGTTAACCTGCAAAATAAGGCATTAACTGAGGGTGGGTAGGGTGGGAGAAGCTCTGGAGCCAAGTGAGGATTCCCAGGTAAGATCCTCCCTCTATTGTGTGGGCAGGTAATCCCTCCCCCACCTGGCCTGATCTCCTTGGCAACGCTTCCCCCAGGTGGGATTGGACAACTGACTGGGGTAGGCGGAGACCTCCAGGTATCCCACCTGAGGGAAGGCAAAGCCAAGCCTATGCTGAATGGAGCCGCTCCAGATCCAGGGGCTGCGCGCGTCCATGCAAAGGTCGCCCCCCGTTTCATGCGGGGAGCAGTCATTCTTGTCTCTTCCCAAATTTTGTACAGGGAACTTAGCTGCTATTTTGCCCACTGCAGCCAATCCATATGCTGGTGCTCTCCTGTCACCCTAATGCCTCACTCTGTGAAAGGGTCCTTCCTCAGAGCAAGAGCCTTGTGGAATGAGGTGGCCACAGAGTTTGGCCCAGTCCACTGCCGCAGTAAATACCAGTTAAAAATTAGTATTTGTCACAGTAGTAGCAAAGCAGCTGGTGACACTCCTATGGGACTTTAGGGGCTATTTTGCCCCTGTCTCCCCCATGTCTCATACTGAGGAAGAAATCTGTGGAACTAGAATCTTGCTTCTCTAGACTTATCTCCACTGTTGCCACTTCTGCATTCCACCCCCCTTTAAATTAAATTAGATTTAAGAAGCCCAGGGCAGCAAATGTTAAAACAGTAAAATTAAAAATAAGATAAAAATGTATTTTAAACCATCTAAAATATTTAGAAATAAATCTAAAAAATTTAAAAGAAATTACATACTCTCACAATTATTAATTTCATGGTTGCCATCAAATGTCTGGGTAAGCAGGAATGTTTTTACATTTTTCCTGATAGACAATAAGGAGGCTGACAGACATATCTCACCAGGGAGGACATTCCACAGCCACCACTGAGAAGGCCCTGTCATGGGCCAACAGGGCAGTGAGGGGCACCACCACCAAAAGTTCCTCACCTGCTAATAGCAGAGCCCAATATGGTTGATGTTGAGGGAGATACTTCCTTAGCCACTAGAGCTTTGTACAATAGTACTAACACTTCAAACTGGGCTTTGTAGCTTACTAGCAACCAGCGCAGAAGTTTCAGAATCAGTTCTATATGGTCCTATCATGCTACCTCACTCACCAACCTAGCAGCCACATTCTGACACTGGGAGTTAATAGGAAGGATGGGGAAGAGGTTAAAGGAGGAGGAAGTGGTAATAGTAGTAGCTGGGAGGGTGTTGCTGACTGGGCCACCTTAGGCATTTGGGTTTCCTGGCTCAATGCTGCTCATGAACTTGCAGGTCCCTGTCTCTGGTTTCAGTTCCAAACATTCTCTGGGCTCCCCCCACCCACAGAAACCTTTGTTTTTCTTCTTTTGCTCCAAAGTACTGGCAACCCCCATCTGGAATATTCATGGTGTGGAAGTTTCTCATGGAAGGGGCAGACACAAATGGCTGGTTCTGATTAGGCACAGAATACTTGTAATGCAACTTTTATAGGCATGAGAGTGTCTCCACTAATGAGAGTTTGAGAGGGATTTTTTAAATCTAAAGTGAAAGTTGCCAAGAGTAGAACATAACCTCAGGGTTTTCCTGTACATGTTCACTAATATTACTAAGAGTCTTCCAGAGAAACCTCTGAAGAGTCTGTTTCCTTCAGGAAGAAAAAGATGTAGAGCACACAGAACTTTGGGGAATTGAAAATGAATGAAATTTGCTATAAAGTTACACGGGATATACTGGGGCGGGGGGGGGGGGAGAGCACAGTTTTTGGAATGCCAAAGCACCACAGCTTTCAACTTAATGAGGAAAAATAGAAGAATGGGAGAGGGAAGAAGACATCGCCCATTCTCTTTATTTATGCATCTTGAAAATTCTGCAGATACCACAAAGCATGTTCAGCTGCAGCTTAGTGGTACCGCACCTGGTTTGCCTGCAGAAAGTCCCAGGTTCAATCCCCAGTGGCATTTTCAGGAAGGGCTGGGAGCGACTCCCTGTCTGAAACCCTGGAGAACTGCTGTCAGTCGGTGTAGACATTACTGAGCTAGATGGAGCAGTTGGGTTGTAGTTTAGTGGTAGAGCACCCACTCTGAGTGCAGAAGGACCCACTTTTACTCCCCAGCAACTCCAGGTAGGGCTAGAGACCCCCACCTGAAACAGTGGAAAGCTAACCCTGTGGCTGCCCTATCAAGTTTTAAATGGGTATGGCAAACAAATGTTTCACTCATAGTTCCCCTTCTAAAGGAAATAATATATTTCCATAAGTGGTTTGTATATAAATACACCACCCTTCAAATATTCTGAAAAATCCATAAAGATAACCAGGCTGTTTGGTGCTCTGTATCATCTTGACAAAAGATGTAGACATCTGGGAGGCTCAATGATAGAATATCTGTTCTGCATGCAGAATGTCCCAGGTTCAATCCCTGGCATCTTCAGGAAGGACTAGGAAAAAGACAACACAGCTAAATGGGGAAATGCTTTAACTCAACATATTCCCCAAATGCTGCAGATATGGAAATATATCAAATACAATAAACAAGCAAAATCATTAGAAGAATGTTTGGTAAAATGGTGGTGGTAAATGGGCTCTGTCTGGCTCATGGCAGCTTGTAGCTCACAAGGGAAGTGGTCAATGTCAGGTTTAAGTGGAGAGTAGAGAAGAACAGAACCTTGGACAGCTCCAAAAACTCTACAGAAAATGCCTCTCTGGGGTAGTCTTTAACTTTTGCAAGGCTGGGCAGACAGAAGTACTGTAACAGTATAAACATCCTCCGAGTTAGAGGATGGTAGGTGGGCTGTGTCTTCTGCACTGGAAGGTCCTGGACAAGATACTATTTTCTTTGCTTGGAGAAGGAGTTACATGGAGAAAGGCCTCTGAAGATACCCTCAGTTATTGGGAAGGTTTGTATGGAAGAAGTCCTAAGGCAATTTAAGCATTTGCTATGATAATGGAAGAGTTGCACAATATGTTTCCAGCATGCCACTTCCTATTAAGAACATCAGAATGGAAGACGAGTCTGTTGGGTCGGGCAAGTGACCCGTCTAGTCCAACATCCTGTTGTCACAGTGGCCAACCAGATGCCTATGGGAAGACTAAAAGCAGGACTTGAGCACAACAGCACTTGCCTCTATTGAGGCTTCTAGCAACTGGTATTCTGAAGCACATGGCCTCTGACAGTGGCCTGGCCACCATTTTCTGCTAAAGCTCCCAGACTGCAAAGGGCATAACAGCCTTTTGCTGAGATGGCATCTGCACACCCTTGCCCTAATTCATTATCTGTCTGGAATCGAGATTTTTTCTTTTTATTAGTACTATTATTATTATTTCCTTTCCGGGGAGCATGGAAATAAGATTTTATTTGGCATTCCAATAGCCACCCAAGGGCCTCTGATAATGAATGAACAAACTACTTGAACGGGCAGCGGCGAGGGAGATTGCGTTTCTGCATTATTGCTGATGTGAACTATGGAAGCGTAGATGTATATTTGTGTAGTCTTATTTGCCTTGTATATGGCTGCTGTAGTTAATGTGGACATTTGCGCAATCTTCCCTGTGTTCGGTGGCTTCCCAAGAGGAGAGCGGCGCTGGAGCCAATAAAAGCAAGCAATAAACCCCGTATTAATAATGCATGCGGAGCTATATGTTTTGTTTGGGATGGCGGGGAGGAAAGGGATGGAAAATGCGTAGCTTCTTCCTTCTCATTTAAATTTGGATGGCTGAAACAATGTTGCACATATATAGATGTAGATATATGATTATTCTTTCCAGAGCAAGCAGTGGCTCGGTAGCGCTGCATGTTAAGCAACATTTTAAGATAACATTTCCCAATACAATCACACATAGCATAAGCACTTGCTCCCAGTCACGGGCGCTGCTATTTGTGGAAGGAAAGGAGCAAAATGTAGGCAAAGATGCTCACTGCACCCAATCATCAAATCTAGATATATCCTTGCATGAAATAAAGTCCCAGGAACACATGTTCAATAGGTTCCCATTTGTCAGGGAGTGCTCTGATTTTGGAGCACCTGTCCCAGGTAAATCATTATCCCCATTGTATCCCTTTCTTTTGGAGATACCTTTTAAAAAATATTTACCAATCAATATTTGGGAGTATCTAGAACTGTATTATGTCAGTCCCTCACCCCCCCCAACATCCCAGCCATTCTCTTTAAAACTTAAATTTCTGAACACAGAGTGTCTCCTGGTATATTCCCTCCCCCTTTAATGCTCTGTTTTGCTTTATTGAAAGTACATTCACATAACCCAAAGTTACCATCCATGCATGGCATATAACCTCATATTTCATGAAAGTCCATCGATATACTTTTGTGTGATATTTGTCTAATATACACATTTTTGAAAAGCAATCCCCCCAAATATAAAATAGTTTTGTATGTTATTTTCACTAATACAGTGGTACCTCGGGTTACATATGCTTCAGGTTACAGACTCCGCTAACCCAGAAATATTACCTCAGGTTAAGAACTTGGCTTCAGAATGAGAACAGAAATCGTGCTCCAGAGGCGTGGTAGCAGCAGGAGGCCCCATTAGCTAAAGTGGTGCTTCAGGTTAAGAACAGTTTCAGGTTAAGAACGGACCTCCGGAATGAATTAAGTATTTAACCCGAGGTACCACTGTAGAAGCAATTTTATGCACAGTTTGCCTTTCCCTTATATATGCATTTTTTTTTTTACACTTTATTTGGTTGGAGAACTGCACTGCAAAATTCGGAGAAGTGCAAATTTTGAAGGACGGCTGTGATTTGGTTTGCATATTGTTTCAACTAGGAAGGCTCACCTTTAAATGCAAACTGAATTGAATTTCTCCCCCATTGCTAGTGACTGTGCAGTGATCCCTAGTATGTGAGCAGGATTCCTAAAAGTTCATAAGGGTAACTCTGTTTGCATCTGTGGTTTTGAGCTGACATACAGCTGCAATGCCTTGTGCTCATTCCCCTGCTACCTTTGCCTTCCCCATTTCCCAGTCTCTCAAGGGTGTTTTTTCTTCCCCTTCTTCCCCTCCATCTCCACTTTTACAGTGACTACAGTTTGATTAGTAACTCCTTGGGCAGACTGTTTTCTGCTTTTCTCACTAATGTGCCATCTGGTAGCATCTTCATTTTCTGAAGCTTCATTCACATGAACAAAGGAAATGGGTCTAGCCACTTTTACACAGCCACTTTCTTGGAAGCAAGAGCTTTACTCCTGCAGCAATGAGAGATTCTGACTGAGCATTAGGAAGAACCTTCTGACAGTAAGAGCTGTTCGACAGTGGAACGGACTCTCTTGGAAGGTGCTGGATTCTCCTTTGCTGAAGGTTTGTAAAGAAAAAGCCACTTCCGCCCTGCAAAGGAGGTGGTGTTGTGGACTTCACGCCCCCTCCATACAATTGAGGGAATTTCCGGCCGCATCACCCCCTGACCAGCCAATCGGCTAGTTCGGGGGGGGGGGATGGCCTGCCCTATTTAACGCAGGCGCAGCTGGGGATCTCCCTCTTTTGCTGCCTCCAGCTGCTCCTTTTCCCCACCCTCCCGCCCTTTAAGGTTTTCGTTCCTTGACCTTGCTATGGACCTTGGTTGGTCGCCATTGAGGGGCCTGGTAGGAATTTTTCCACTTGGCAAATTGGCACCAGCCACTTGTTTTCCACCTACCTCGTAGCAAATCTTCACAACTTTCTTGGTATTGGCAGTTAGGCATTGGTATTGGTATAGTTATGTAGATGGAAGAGGGGAGGAAGCGCCATCACCTGCCCCGCATATTGAAGGGTAGTCTGATAAAGGATTCCGGAGGGCGTGGCCCTGTCCAAAACCTATGGAGGTGAGGGCCTAAGGCATGCCTCTGAGCGGTGACCCTGGGGGAGTTCCGAGTTGATGTGCATCAGCAGGACTCCCCCTACTGGTGGTTAACCCTTCCCAGACTTCAAGCGGACGGGCTGAAGCCAGATATAGTTGGTTAGGACCAATGCCTAAGCCAATACCACTCATCACCTGTAACCAATAAAGTTGTGGCCTTATTTAGCCCATTAACCTTAATAATTGTGTCATGTGTCTTCATTTCCACTGGGGGGGGTGGAACTCACCAGGCAACTTGAATGACCATCTGTCAGGGGTTCTTTAGCTGTGATTCCTGCATCACGGAGAGTGGAACTGGACGACCTCTTGGGTCTCTTCTAACTCTATGGTTTTATGATTCTGATGGATGCCCCTATCATTTCATTCCCAAAAACAGAAGGGCGGACTACAGCCTAGAATTTGGTCTAATCCAGAAAGGCAGCTCCTAAGCTTAGCCTAAGAAGAAACATCTCAGTTCATTTCATGTTAAATTCAGTGGCATCTCCCTCATATGCCGCTGACATTAAAGAAAAGCGAGCGCCACCAAGGCCGCCTACAATGTCTTAATCATGTTATCCCCTCCAATTTCCTTGACTCCCCTCTCCCTTGTACTTGGCTCACCAGCTTCAGCTTGGTTGCATAGGAGAGCAATGAACTGCTTGACCTCCTAGAATTACCTTATCTTATTGCTTCCACATGTAAACCTCTTTCCTCCCCCCTTCCTTATCCCCCCTCTCTGTAGTCATCAAAGGCACTTGCTTTTTCATCAAAACTGAACATGTTAACTAAACCACCATGACAAACTCTGCGGCTTTGCAGTCAAATATGAACTGCTGGGCAGCGATGCAAAACAACCCCTTGATAACTCTCTCTTTTTTTAAAAAAGGGAAAAGAAAAGAAATTCTAGCTTGTTTCACCTCCCTAACACAACTGCTTTTTCTCAGTCCTTTTAACTTCATTGCAAAAGTTCCATTGAATGGGAGGCTGGGGTTGTCATTCATCCGGCTTGTACCCCAATTTCCTTGGGGAGAACTGGATTACTAAACAACTATCTCCTAGATAAGTTCCACCAGTAAGAACCTAAGAACATTTGAAGGGTCTGGATGGATCAGGACAGTGACCCATCTGCTCCAGAATCTTGTTCTCACAGTGGGCAACCAGATGGCTATAGGAAGCAAGAGCACCCTCCCCTCCTGTGATTCCCAGAAACTAATATTCAGAAGCAGATTGCTTCCAGAAGGTAAGGTAGAACACAGTCATCAGGGTTAGTAGCCACTGATCATGTGCATTTGTCCTACTCTTTATTAAAGCCAACCAAGCTGGTGGCCATTGCTGCCTCTTGTGGAAGCATATTATATAGTTTAACTATGCATGGTGTGAAGAAGGACTTTCTCTTATGTGTCCTAAATCCTTCATCATTCAGCTTCACTGAATATCCATGAGTTTTAATGTTATGAGGGGGGGGGATACATTTCAGTCTCCGCTCTCTCCATGCCATTCATAATTTTACCCACTTCTATCATGTCAGTTAAGGGACGCAGGTGGCACTGTGGGTTAAACCACAGAGCCTAGGACTTGCCGATCAGAAGGTTGGCGGTTCGAGTCCCCGCAACGGGGTGAGCTCCCATTGCTCGGTCCCTGCTCCTGCCAACCTAGCAGTTCAAAAGCATGTCAAAGTGCAAGTAGATAAATAGGTACCGCTCTGGCAGGAAGGTAAACGGCGTTTCTGTGCGTTGCTCTGGTTCGCCAGAAGCAGCTTAGTCATGCTGGCCACATGACCTGGAAGCTGTACGCCGGCTCCCTCGGCCAATAAAGTGAGATGAGCGCCGCAACCCCAGAGTCGTTCACAACTGGACCTAATGGTCAGGGGTCACCTTTACCCTATCATGTCAGTTATTACTCCTCTAAACCAAAACATCCCAAATGCTGCAACCTTTCCTCACTGGGGAGCCACTTCATCCCCTTGATCATTTCGGTTGCCCTTTTCTGAGCTTTTTCCAGTATTACAATATCTGTTTTGAGGTTAGGTGACCCAAAGTGTACTGAGTACTCCAGGTGTGGCTACACCATAGATTTGTATAATGGCATTATGAGATCAGCAATTTTATTTTAATTCCTTTCCTAATGATCCCTGACACTGAATTCTCCCTTTTCATAGTGTCAGCCTGCACACTGGGTTGACATATTCATCATACTATCCACTATAACCCCAAGGACTCATTCTCTGTCCTTTACCAACAGTTCAGACCTCATGAGTATCTATGTGAAATTAAGATTCTTTTGCTCCAGCCTGCATCACTTTACACTTGCTTACACTAAATTGCATTTGTCATTTTGCTGCCCATTCACACAGTGTAGATAAATCTTTTGGGGGCTCTTTCAACAGGAGCAACACCATGCCTCTCTTTCTCTTCAACCAATAGCTTACAGGCATAAAAATGCAACACATTCATTATAAATTCATTGGTAGAACATCTGCACGTTCCATCCTTCAGTAAAAACTGTTCTTTACATAGGCACTTATTCTGAGAGAGACCATTGGTCCATCAGATTCCAGCATTTCGGGGTTTTAGGCAGGAGTTTCCCCCCAGGCCTACCTGGAGATTCCAGGGATTGAACCTGTGACCGTCTGCATGCAAAGCAAATGCACTACCACTGAACCACAGTTCTTTAGGCCTAGTTTTAAAGGATAGGTGTGATTTGGTTCACTTAATGGCTTGGGAAGTGCAAATTGGGTAGGATCACATTAAATTGCAGGTGAAACATTTTTCATCCCCACCAGGCACCACCAACCAAACAGAGAATTTCCAAAGACAAAAATCTGCAAGCAACTTCATCAGAAAGCCACCCATTCCTGAGTGAAGTGCCCATAATTCACTGTCTTCTCATTTGCAATCTCCAGCTGAACCATACCATGTGCTTCATTTGCATGTGTTCAGCGGACGTCATTTGACTAAGCTTTGAATACTGAGAGTTCAACTTTATTAACCAGCCATCCTTTCATTTAAAGAGCAACTGCTCACATCAACCCAACATGGACACATATTGATTGGACCCCTGGCCCCCCGGCTCTGCTTAAAAGATCTGAACCAAACTAATTTTGTTCACAGACTAGTGAGGCCTGGACTCCTTTCTCGTTAAAAGCCCCAAGCACATCCGGTGTACGTTTCAGAAAGCCGATGAATCTCTTGATGACAACATGCATAATGAAGAGACTCCATTCCTCGCCGAGAAGGCTAATTAATCATTAGGCGAGCACTAGTAAATTTTCTGAATCACTGCATTTGTGACAGACATGTTGTTAAGCCAGCAGAATGCCACATAAGGCACTGGCTTGCCCATCAGACAGGAGCGGTCTTATCTTCTTGCTGCGGCTTTCCAACACCTTGTTGTTGTCATTAAGAAAATTATTAGAATCATAGAGTTGAAAGGGACCCCCAGGGTCATCTACTCCAAACCCCTGCAATTCAGAAATGACAACTATAGAGTCCAAGCCATATGGTCATCCAACCTCTACTTAAAAACCTTCAATGAAAGAGAGTCCACCACCTTCTGAGGTAGTTTCCTCCACTGTCTCACTGCTAACCAACATGTGGAAGATATCAGTAATCACTCAGATCTCAGTTGCGATCAGAAAATTGACTTCCTGATGGCCTGGAGGAAGGGAAGGTCTTCAGGTTCCAGAATGGAATAATACATCTTAGTTTGTGTGGAGGACAAAATAGAGTTATCTACTTTTCAGCCCAAAGGGCTGTTTTCAAACCATACACAGCAGGCAATAGTCACTGCTTTCCATCTGCATGTTCATCTTCAGTTTGTTGTTGCTTTCAGGAGGGAGGGAAAGATGTGCCTGGGAGGGATCAGCTGGGGAGAGGGGGTGACACTGCAGTGGTTCGGGATAAAGGGAGCTATGGTGTGAAAGGTGAGACAGGCCATAACAGGCCCAGCGTCCAGGCAGCTAGTGACTGTGGAGTGTGCCAGCCCCCTCTCCAACCTGGAGAATTGTGATTGTCCTATCAAACAGCCCTTGGGTCTGCAGATGCTGCTGTTGAATGCTGAGTCAGCTTTGAGTAAGATCTCCCTCATCTATAACTTGATTGTGGGTGAGGATGCTGGCCTAGACTGCATTACTAAGACCTGGGTGGGTGAGCAAGGTGGAGTTAATCCCAGCTAGCTGTGCTCACATGGCTGTTTGGAGCAACATCAAGGCCCTGAGAGTGTTTGTCCTTGGCAAACACTTGGTAACTGAGACAGAGTAGGGATTCTGCTGTTTATCTTGTGCTTTGCTGCCCTGCAGGCTCCCTGCATAAGTTGACAGAGTTGGTCTGAAAGGCAGTGTTGAAGACTCCCAGACTGTTGGTATTGGGGCACTTGAGCATCCATGCTGAGGCCATTAACTGTGGGGTGGCTCAGGATTCCATGGCTGCCATGACAGCCATAGGGCTGTCCCAACTTGCCATTGGCCCAATGCATGTGACAGAATCTTTCTTAGACCTTGTTGCAGTAAGAGGGTGATCTGACCATACAGGATATTAACAACAGTCACTTGTTATGGCTGGATCACTTCCTGATGAGATTTAGGCTTTCAGCATATTTTCCCTGCTGCAGAGATGGGGAACCTGTTAGGATGGTCTGCCCTTGGAGGGTGATGGATCCAACTGGGTTGCAGACACACTGGGGAATTTTCCAGCTGATATGACTTGCACTCCTGCCTAAGCCCTGGCCAATATGCAAATAGCCTGGTCTGCCAACATGATCACACCCCTGAGCTCCCTCTCCCTCTTTGTAGAGCCCACTTGGCTCCTTGGTATACTCCAGAGCTCAAGGCAATGAAACAATGGTCTAATGCAGTCTAAGGCAGCTTCCTATGTGTCTGTGCTGTAGACTACAACTCACATCATCCTTGAACTTTGTCCCCAATATCTGCTTTTTCATAACACTATTTCACAGATATGCGTGGTGGTGGTGGGGGGGAGAGAAGGGAGGGGAGATATTAAATCTGTTCATTTGGCCAAAACAAAGTATGCTTTATAAATAGCATGCAACTCTTTTATGCAATTTATTTTAGAGCTTCTCTACCTTGGTTGCTTCAGGTTGGTATTGCTGAATTCCCTCCCCCTCCCTGATTAATTTCATTATAGTTCATTAGCTGAGCTAATTAGAACATAGAGGAAGTAGCAACACAGGTGCTGGATGAGTTGCAGTTATTACATTAATGGGACCAACATGGCAATGGGACCCTAATTGTTAATCTGATTAGCAATTCTTCTGCTCTCATCAGAAAGGTGGCATCTGCTGATTGTGATAATCATGGGCTTCCAGCTTGTACCTGAACTGCGCATGGGCAGTGAGATCAAAGATGTGTCCTGTAAATGGCTATCAGCTTGGTTGTGTGGCTGGGTATCTTAAACCCTTGTTTGCAGCCATGTCAAAACACCCCCTTTTCCTGCTTAGACTGTCCCACCAACCCATAACCTGGGGTATTTAACAACTAATGTGACTAAGTTAAGTTTGTGCAGTCAAACAGGGATATGAGAAAATGCTGTTGAGCTATAAGTCAGCATAAGGAAAAACTTTGCAGTTTTGTGAGTGTGCACAAGGCTTTTGCTTTTATTTTATTTTTTAAATAAACTCTAACTCTGGTTGTACGTAAGATATTTTGGTTACCTTCCTGAGCACATTTATCTGGAAAAAAGAATAACTGGAATATGTGAGAAGTACCACTGAGTAAATGTGCAGAGGATCAGGATATAAATTACCAACAGACAAATAAGTAGAAGTATGTATGGGGGAGGGGCAGCGGGAGACAGAGACCAAACTTTGGCTTGTCAAGTCAACCAGAACAAATTAATGTTGGGCCAGAACAAACCCAAGGACTAACAAGCAAAAAGAGGTGTTCAAAGACCTCTGAAGCGGAGCCCAAGTTTATATACATCTAACATCAATGTCTGTGGAATTTGCACAAGCAGCATAGCCTGAACCTCAAATCTGCACTCGCTGACATTTCCCATCTTCTTAAAATTGGCAGACTGAGCTGCGGAACCTAAATTTAACCTCCAGAGAATTGGCTGGATGACACTGGTGTTCTTTACATGTTCGGTTTAAGTCTCTGAAAGCCAATTTAGCCAAACACCTCCTCAAGAAAGGGGTTCACCTCTGATTCTGTCACTTGTTAGCTTCTAGCATTCTCTGTCCTTTCCCTCCCCTCCTGATTGTTCTTTTAATAACAACTCTTTAAAGTCTTGGAAGGTGGTCCCCATGAATATTTGAAAATGCCAGAGATCTGGCACTCATCACAGGCTTGAGAGCAAATAATGTCACTGCAAAGCGGCTATCTTGAGAATCGATACATTGCAAGAACTATGTAAGACCTGATTTTGACTATTTATATCCAATATCCCATCCACTTGAAAGAGAAGGAAGATGAACTGATACAATTAACTGTGTCCAAAACAAATGAAATAATACACACACCCCAAAGAAACAATTAGAGAGCTGGCAGTGACCAAGAATAGTTGGTATGTGTGTCATAAAAACACACAAAGAACCTGCTGGATCAGGCCAGTAGCCCATCTCATCCAGCACCCTGCTGGAAGAAGGGCTGGGAAAGACCCAGATCCCACCTAGTGGCACCTCTAGTTAAAAATACCTGAGAGAGCCTTGCCAGATGGTATGGATATCATTGGTCTAGATCAGGGATGGGGAACACCTGGCCTTCCAAATGGTTGTTGGACTCAACTTCATTCCTGGGCTGGATAGATGAATAATCTGAGTCAATATAAGGCACCTTCATTAGTTCATTTGTGACATAAGAACACAAGAAGAATCTGTTGGGTTAGCCCAATGGAACCAGCATCCTGCTTCCACAACAGCCAGCCAGATAAGCCAATGGGAAGCCTGCAAGTAAGACCATGGTACAGCAGTAATCTCTCACTTGCACTTCTCAGCAACTGATATTCAGAGGCATATTGCCTTTAATAGTGGAAGCAATGCATAGCGAGTATCTTAGGAACTAGGTTTAGGAATGCAGCCCTTGGGCTCAAAAGTTTCCCCACCCCTTCTCCAAGGCAAAGACTCAGTGCAACATAATGGGTTATAAAGAGGGTGAGAAAACCTGATGTGTTGCATCCATGCAGATCTTCTAGGGAAGGGGTTTTATAGCATAGGCACTACTACCAAACATACCGAGCCTTATGTCACCACTAATCCCACATCCAATGGGACATGGAACGAAGCCTCCCAAAAGCTGGACCACCCTTGATGCTTTCAATGGGTGGGTTGGCTCATGTGGTAAAAGCTGGCTCTTTGGAGACCTTGGTATGCAAAAAAAATAGAGTTTTAAATGTCATAACTTTAACTATTTAAGTCAAATGTTTTGCAGGCACTTGGGTGAAAGTTAAGAACACAAGACAAGCCCTGCAGCTGCAAGAAACCAAAGGTCCATCTAGTCTATTAGGCTGTTTCTCACAGTGGCCAACCAGATGCCTATGGGTTCTTCTACATCAAGGGTTGAGAGCCTGTTTGTGGCCCAGGGCAACCTTCTGGAGGCCACATGCCATTGGTGGGCAGGGCAGAGGCAAAACTGGAGGAAGCAATGAATATACATATGACCTATGTACAGTAAGAAGGTTTCTACACACACTCACATGCTACTTTCTATCCTCCAGCCAGGCAGTC